GTGACACAGATGAGCTCTGGAATTTTTATAGCTTGTTGTGGGGTTCTCAGAATGAAAAAGGTTGAGAATCTCTGATCTAGTGGACAAGGACTGGGATTTAGGACTTCGGGCCTTTTATCTTGGGTCTCTTCTGGATCCGTTGTGTGGCCTCAAGACATCAAACCACTCTCCACCTCAACTTCCTACTTGTTAAACAGTGATTTGCGGAGCTCTGGAAGCAGAGAATAGCCAAAGTACAAAGGACTTGGTTATATAGCTAACATCTGCTCTTTACACAGAGAGCTGAGACTAGGGCATTTTAGAACCTTTATGCCAGTTCAAAACAGACAAAGAAGATCCTCTATGCAGAGGAAGTTTGCATGGGGGCCATTTCCTCCCCTTTTAGGGCCTCTTTTCACTGCCACAGCATCATAATGAAGCTTTAACATAACTGAAAATCGGGCCTACTGTTTCAAATCTGTCTGCACACTAGAGAGAATCAAGACTAAATCAGTTAATACTTGATACACGTTTTGGAGTCTCTTCATTGCCAGAAGGTCTAGAAACTTAGTTTCTCTTAGATGCTGAATCATGATTCTGCAGTAGGGAGTGAAGGTTTCAGCAAACTTCATTGCTGATGAGTTATAGGAAAAATGATGTCCTGTCTTTTTAAACAAAGGCTTAATCCATTTTCTCCTTCCCCCATGGCAACATAAAATTTACATTTCAACAAATAATGATCTAGACCCCCTCAGCTGACCCACCCATTAGAGACTCTTTCTCGTAGCATTAATGTTATTATTCCTTCCATCTGCTCAACATGGAGCCTGGGTAAACTCTGTGTGTGTGTGTGCGCGCGCGCGCAGATAATCCTTTCCTGACAGCAAAGGCGCTTTTCTTTTTCTAACAGGAAAAGATCTTATTAGGCATACCTGTCATATCTTTTTGACTGGTGATATCATTACTCCCGCTTTTAATTGGCAGTTCATTAGTTTCCCAAAATCAGAATTGTCATGGTCCATGAGCCAGCATGAAATTAGCTCCTGCTTTGAATGTAATGTGAAGGTTATTCACATGGCACAAAAGCTCCTCAAAAGTACAGTTTGTTCTATCAAATTAAAATGGTTACATGGCCAATTTTTTTTTTTTAAATTCTAACAGCTACATTTACTTTCCGTTTCTTAGCCTGCAAATATACTTCTGGTAGAACATGAAATAGAACACCTAAGAAATATTCTTTATTCTCCCCTTCTCTGCCACCAGAGAGTTCTTCTAACTTAATCCCCCAGACTCCAGCCACGTGAAGAGTTTGTACAACAGTCAAACTCCGTAAAAAAAAGAAAGACAACATCTTTATTAAGGGCTATAACAGTTCTCTCCTCCACTTGTGGAAAATAGGGTGGGTAAGGAATGCTTGGCTGAAAGCTGTGTAGCCTGTCCAGTGGTGTCTCCAAGGGCTTCGAGATTCACAAGCAGGCTGGAGTGGATAATACACTGGGGCTATGTCTACACTACAGGGTTTTTGTACAAAACCAGCTGTTTTTGCACAAAAACTGGTGGAGCGTCCACACCTCAAGTGCATTTTTGTGCAAAAAAACCCAACAACAGTAAATCGACAGGACAGAGGGCTTTTGCCGGTAGATTTATTCCTCTCCCCACAAGGAATAACTCCTTTTTGCGCTACAGCCCTTGCTGAAGATCTCTTCCTCAAACAGCTTCTTGTGCAAAAACCCTGCAGTGTAGACAAAGCCTGGGAGTGATTCTAACTGGGGCCTGTTAGCCCAGCAAAATAAGTGATGAGGCAGGTTCAGTGAACCTTCATGCTTTGCCACAAAGTTTTATCACCACAGCACTTGCTCTCTTGTATTATAGAAGACAATCCTTTTTTAGTTGCAAGACAATGTTCCGCTCCACTCACACTGGCATTAACTCGTTTCTCTCATAAATTACTTTTTAAAAAGTGCAGCGTCATGGACTCATGGTTAGAGAAAGTGTGATTCACACAAAAGACATTTAGTTCCCTTTCCCTTTTTATTTTCATAGGAATTTACTGGGGTAACATACTGTAGGCAGCTAATGAGCCTGATCCCAAACCCATTCAAGTTAAGGGCATATTTCCATTGACTATAGTTGGCTTTGAATCAGGTCCTATGTAGGCAGAGTTTAAAGTACAGCACAAGATAGCCTTTTCATTTACAATACAGACTGCATGGATCAAATTTTGTATAGAAAATACATCCCTGTTTTCATTAAGAACAAAAGTCCATTGAAATCAATTGGGGCCTTCCAATAACTTCAGCAGACTCTGAATCAGGCCCTAATTGTTTGTATGAGATTGGTCTTTTCATTCTGAAATATGAAAATAGTTCTGTGATTTTTAAATATAATATGGTGGCAATTAATGAGATGTTGTAGTGAGGATGTTGAAGAAATGACATTTCTTTTGAAGTGCTGCAAGTGCTCCAATTGTTATAATTTTTGTAATATTTGTTTCACTTTGGAAACAGAAGTGGGAAGAGAAAAACCTAACACAAGGTTAAAATTCTTCCCTTGCATCTTATGCATGATCCTATAGCCACATTTTGGATTTGAGGGGAGATTTTTGCTCCAGAACTAGAAGTGGCATGGTAAAAATGTATAGCTTTGTTATACAGTAGATGGAAATGGAAGACACCCAATAAAAATGTTAGGCATTTGTACCTATCAGAAGTCAGCTGCAGGATCAAGGCCTGAGTCTATAACCTCCTGCAATAACAGCAGGGTTAGGCTCCCAGACCCTCTGCAGAAATAGATATTACTATAGTTCTCGGCTACACAGGCTCGTTAGTTTCAAACAGGGATAATCTTTAACTCCAGAAAGGTTTTCTTATGAATATAAATATTTCTCTGTGATAATTCAGTATGGGAAAGTTCACACATACACAAACTTCAAGCAATACAGCCTTTTTTTTTAAAAAAAATAAGAAGGGGTCTGATTCTACGGTCACCAACTGATATGTATCAGAGGGGTAGCCATGTTAGTCTGAATCTGCATAAACAATGAGAAGTCTTGTGGCACTTTATAGATTGACAGATTAACAGATTATATCAGTTCTGAACTGATATAAATCAGAAATTACACCATTGCAAAACTGCTGTAAATTAGATGTTGGACCTAGTTCCCATATCTCTGGAATAATTTTACATAAAGTAGTGCATTTATAGTATTACTGCTCTGCAGGATGCAATGTTTTTTAGTCTATCCCTGCTGCGGATGGACTAAATTATATATCAGCTACACAGATTCAATATTTCTCCACTGTGGCCCGTCACCCAGAAATTTATAGGAGCCAATAATAATTAAAAGATTGACACTCTGGGGATGATGTGCACTTTCTCTAAAAGAGATTATAGACTGTGCCCTTGTTAAAAACAAAGTGGTTTTGTTGCCACTAACTAGAGTATATGAAACAACCCGGAGGGTCCAAATTTGCATTGGGCAAGACTAGTATTTTCTATACCTATAATTATTAATCTGAGGCACTACTGGTAGAAATGGACAGGAAGAAGCAGAGCTAAAATTAGGCCATATTTACATCTAATCGCATTGTTTAAATATTTACGTTGAAAAGGAATTTTTGTATTATTTTTTGTTTGCGCCTACAAACTCCAAATAAACTTAAGGGCCCATTTCTACAGGTACTGTAGAAGCACAGGAAACGGTCCTTTCCACAAAGAGTTTACAACCTAGATATGCAAGACAGACATCAGTTGATAAAATGGGATGCATCTTTTTTGGCACTAGGGAGATCAGCAGCATCTACACACTGATGGTGAAATCCTGGGCCTCTTGAATGGCAAAATTCCCATTGACTTCAATGGTGTCAGTAGCCTCTCAGAAGCAGAGGGCCAGAGGAACTTTGAAGAAAAGTGACTATCTATTCAGGAGCAAGTGTAATTACACCAATGAAGGCTAGTTAAGCCATTGCTTGCACTCACCAAGCTGCATTTGGAAATTTACCCACTACCATACATTGGCGCTGGATGCCTCTTTCTGTGTCAGAGTTGTCCTAGTCATATAGGTCACCAATACTATTGTGTTCTATACTAGTCACCTCCATCAGAAAACAAAAAACCTCAACACAGCAGAAAGAGAAAGGTACTGAATGGCAAAATAAATGATCAGAAACATTACCACTTCTGCAACTCATCTGATGAAGTGGGTTTTCCCCATGAAAGCTCATGATCCTATATATTTTTGTTAGTCTCTAAAGGCATATCTACACAGCAGCACTATTTTAAAATAATTCACATTATTTCAAAGTAACAGAGTGCGCATCTACAGAGCAAGCCCGTTATTTTGAAATAATTTCGAAATAATGGGCTTCCTGCTCCAACTTCTGTAACCCTCATTTCACAAGGAGTAAGGGAAGTCGAGGGACGAGTGTTTTGCCTTTGACTTCCTGCAGTGTAGGCAGTTAAGGTATTTCGACTTCAGCTACACAGTTAACATAGCTGAAGTTGCATATCTTTATCAACTTTAGCCTGCAGTGTAGCTCTAGTGTGCCACAGGATTACTCGTTTTTAAAGTGACAGACTAACACGACTCCCCTTCTGAGACTAACAAGATGATTAACTTTGCAGAGGAAATGTATATGAGAGGTCAGAAAAAAGGTAGTTGAAATAATAATGCAAAGTAAATCAAGCACAGTGATTTTTGATAATTTAAGAAAGAGGATACAGTCAATTACATACAAAAGCAAGAAATTTAAAACTGATACAAGGAAACTGGTCTCACAGTGCAAAACTTACTTGTGAAACTCATTGACATAAGACACTTATGGCGAAGAGCATACCAGGATTCAACAAAGGACATTCAGACATTTGTGAGACTAATTTGATGTACAGTTACATTGGACAGGATGAAAAAGCCCTCTTTATACAGGGTAGAAGAGCTCATGCTTGAGTGTAGTAACTACCGCTCACTGCCTAGAGTTAGAAATTTCCCCTATGGAGGAGTTAAGAGTAACTGTCCATTACAGGGATTTCCATGAAGCCTCTGGTTCCAAGCACTGTCTGAGAGGACCTCATACTAGATGGACACTAATCTGATCAAGGATGACAGCTCCTATGCACCTGAAGCTACATACTGACATTGTGATATAAAGCCTCTGGGAATTTTGGTTGAATGCTTCGATGAAAGCACCAGCTTTCAGATATGTCAGAGTGCACACTGAGTACTGGACAAACAATCTTTGACATCTTTATGGACTAACTAAAAAGGCTCTGTGCTCCTCAAGCTAAGTTTGTTGCTTTTTCCACTGTCAATGTACCTTCTAATGTTGTTGTCCAAACTAAGAAATATGTGCTGCCTCTATTATTTGGCAGATACCTGCAACAAGTTTGGGATTAAGGGTGTCTCACTACCAGTTAGTAAACATCAAAAATTAACATTCTGCCAGTTTTCTTCTAGTTCAGACAAAAAGAAAGGCTTAAAAGTTATGTTGTGATGGTGTAGTGTGGAGCCACTGAAAAAAATAAAAATCCATTGCCACAATGGGACAAAATCTGTAGCGTATTAAAGCAGAACACCTCAGACATCAATAACAATCCTTGACTGCCAAAGTGGAATTTCTGCCATTAGCAGCTACAAAATGAACCCTAAGCAGAGTTCATTTTCCTGAGGTAGTCACTGGGACCCTTGAATTAGTTTAATATAAACTACTGCTCACTGTCATCAAGGAAAACTTAGATGATGATTCTGCATTGGTAAGAATTATGCAAGAGGGTTCAGCTTTTTTCTTGCATGTTGTTGAAGCCTTAGAAAAATGCTGTATTTAGAAAAAAAGATCTTGACCCTCTAAGACCAAATAATTTTATTTTTGCCACCAAAATAAAATGTGTGCTAGGTTGGAGTGGAAGATTGTTTCAAGAAATATGAGGAAGGCATAACTGGCACATTAATTGAAACAACTGACATAATCTTTTAATAACCTTGTTCAGAACAATCCCATAGCACAAGGCAGGGATTATCACTTACAGTTTGTTTCTCAAGCACTTTACCACGCTTGGACGGTCACCCAATACTATAGAGCCAATTTGGCTTTCTACTGGTGAATGAAGAAGCTGACAAGGAATGGATGAGTTCTCCTTATTTCAGATTAAAAAGTAA